CAGGGATTGGACTGGACTGTGGGACATAAAGTGATACTAGTGAGGAGTGTGCCTCTTAGCTCAAGTAGATACAAGCGACCAAAGGGACAGCTTCTGTCCGGGGGTGAGATGGTACAGCAGAGAGTGTTAGGAGCTGGTTGAATGGACATGGGGAATTAGGCGTGGAAAGGAGGAGTGTGCTGTCGCAGAATGGGGTAAGCAGTTAGGGTCACATAACAATGTATGTATAAAATTTTGTATGGGCGATTAACTTGAGATGTAAACTTCATTTAAACTACAACAATAAAAAAAAATTCATATAGTTTGTACAGGAAAAAAAAAAAAAGATTAGCCAATGGTTGATCTTCTATATTTCTCCCTCCTCTTCTCTTTAGAAACCTTGGTAAAGGGTTAGCCTAACCACAGCAGCCCATAACCACAAAGGCCAACTTGTTCGTCAGAATCTGGAAGACTTAAAACAATAGGAAACTACCTCAAAGGAGCGGGACAGAGTGCTCTAACCAGTTCAATGGACAGTGGATGTGCATACCAAAACCAAAAAAACAATTTACCCCAGGAAGTGGTTAAAGATCTACCCAATATTATACGTAGCCCACATAACAAATAAAAACAAACAAAAAACCCAAAACCCATCATATGACAGACCCAGGACCTCTGAGCCAAGAGATCAACTGTTAGAAAAGAAAAACAAGAAAAGGTCACCCAGTCATGATCCTAGTTCTTTGTCTTTAACCAATCATAGTCTGTAAGTACGTAACTCATAATGAATCAGTACCCGTCAAAACTGTATAAAGAGCACTTATAGACTGCACTTCTTTGGATTTTAGTCTGCTAATATTCTGAGTGCTTGCAGCCAATTTCCCATCTTTGTTTTCTGATATGTTACAATATAGATCTCTTGGTTGCAGAGGACTTTGGTCAAAGGTGTTTCTCTACAACAGCCTTGATGTACCTAGCTGCTTCTAGCTGACTGACTGCTTTTCCTGGAATCAAAAGGGTCTCCCTATATGCATACAGAATAACTGCTCAGAATAAACCTTACGTTCACATTTCAGTGAGTTTGGATTATTTTTAACACTGGGATTCTGGTCTGGTTTGGTTTTCTGACATCTTAAACACTGGGAGCTGAGCAGGAAGCCTCGTTTTCACTTGGCTTCCCTCTTGAACTGTATTTTTTTTTTTTTTTTTTTTAGTAATAGTATCAACAAAGGTCAAGACTGAAACTATATATTCAATTTACAAAGGACTAAGATTCAATTCGAGCCAGAATGTAGGGTTACAGCTTCCAGCACCATTACCTACCCCTGCTCGGCTACCTCCTCCTTTGCAAGTTTTAACGCCAAACACCAAAGTGACTCCCTTAGCTTTCCCTTAACACTCCTGTTTTTGTGGCTTTGTTTGTTTCCATCACTGGTTATTTTTCTAGAAGGAAACTTTTATCTCTTATAAAAGACAAAGCCTAGCCAGTCCAATTTCAGAAATACAAGAGCTGAAAAGCTGTCAAAAGCTTCATTCCCACGGTTGTACTTTGTATAAAACCACCATGGGTTAACTTTCAGCAGATGCAAACTAAAAAGTAAGAAAGCATTTCCTTGTTTGTCTGAAGAAGAAAGTACAGTTGAATACAATTTCAAAAGCCCTGTTCTGAATATGAATGTACGTTCTCACGTTTTTCCCGAAGAGTTCTATTTCCCCAGCCCACAAAGGACAGCAATTAAAATCTCCAACCACCTGAGGCCCGTGTACTGCTACTGCTTTCTGCAGTTCTTGTACAATAGAGTCGATTTAAGATTGCATTTTAAAACTCTCTTCATTTAAATTGTTAATTAAAAAGGAAAGAACACTTGATCAAGAAGAAGTACATATGACCTTCCCACAATAGTTTGTCTGAAAGGAATGTTTTCTGAATAAGCAGCAAGTCTACAACATCACACAGTAGCTGCTATGGGAATAATACTTTTTTAATATTAAATTAACCTCATTTTTTTCCCATTCATATAAATTTCCTGGATCTGTCTTACTATACACAGTGTTTCACTTTTAGATGTTAGAGTTTGGTTGAATGGTGTAAATACATAATGCAAAATGAGAACTGTATGTCTGACCCAGTGACATATTTGATAAATCTTTAAATGCACGCACTGAATAATGTTTACTAGAATGCCCACTGAACTATTAACAGTGGTTATCCTTCGAGGAGGAGGCCATGAGGAAAGGGGGTAGGAATGCGTTTCACTATTTACTTCGTGCACCTCTGTTACTTGAATTCATCAATAAGCAGAAGATGGTGCGGGACTGGGCAACGTTTCGTTCTGTTATACGCAAGACCGCCGTGAGTAAGAGCTGACTCCACGGCACCTAACAACAACTATAATTTTTAATCCGTAAAATTAAACAAATACATAATGCTAAAGTGTGTAATCTATTATTACGTTTTACCAACGAATATTTGCACTTCACTTACCTGGACGTAAAAATTCAGGAACAGGATGACTAAGGTAAGCATGTAGGAAGACTGGAAGATGAGACACCCGAAGGGAAACCCACAGGGCCTGACGACGCCGCTCATGGTGTGCGTGATGGTGAGCACGAACTGGACCTGCGGGCGTGATGGACAGTGTCACAGGGAGGCGACCCCCGGCTGGGTTCTCAGAGCCACATAACCATTCTCAACTTTTATAACAATTTAGAAGTCAACTCCCATTACTCCCCAAGTTCTGCACGAGTAAAACAAATATGAAAACACTGAAGGTAGCCCGCTACTCTAGCCAGACAGCTTATTTGAAATTACGTAAGTACACAGAATTGCCCATTATAAATTTCTTCACAGGAATGTAGCAGTTAGAATTATTTAGATAAAAATGATTTAAATAGATAAACTAGATAATAGATATAAAAAGGTATTCATCTCCATTTCAAAATAAGGCACTTCTTAGTACTTATCAGCAGGGGATACGTTCCAAGACCCCCATGGATGCCTGAAGCCACAGACAGTATCGAACCCAATATATACTATGTAGGTTCCTATACATACATACCTATGATAAAGTTGAATTTATAAATTAGGTACAGAAAGAGATTAACAATAATTAATTATAAAATAGAACAATTATAACAATATACTGTAATAAAAGTTATGTGACTGTGGTCCCCGGGCGGGATGGCGTGAGATTTCATCACACTACTCATTTAACATTTTCGGACCGCGGCTGACCGTGGGTAACTGAAACCACGGGAAGTGAAACCACAGATTTGGGGGGCGGTGGGGGGGGGGCTACTGTATAAGCAAATTGTATACACAAAGGACACTTTAATACACAAAGTTTAATTCTTAAAAGGGCATTTTTAGAAAAAAATAGGCAGCCCGCATCATACATAGAAAAGCTCTGACTTCTGAGAAGACTGAGATTTCTGCTTCCTTTCCCCCATCTTGAGAATTTAGATGTTTCCACGTGGAGAAGAAGTGAAAGAAGGGTTAACATACCAGTTGAGCCTGTGTGAGATATTTCTTCCACCAAAGATACTTGTGCATAGATGGAAACACAGAAAGTCCATAGTAGGAGTACATGAGAATGTGGATAAAACTGTTCAGTGTTGGTCCAAAGAAACCTATAAAAGTACAGTATGAAAATTACTAGTCATCTAGAAAGTGAGACTGTCCATTCTTCTTTGCTAAATGAGACTCTCCCTGTGCACTGCAGTTGAAAATGGATAAACCAATATGGCGCTACCATATAGCTACCACATAGCAAAAGCCATGCCGATACATTCTCCCTGATGACTGTGCCGTTCCTCCAGGATTCGGCAAAAACTCCCCAGATAGGACTAAACTGGGGATGGTTTTTCAGTCAGAGTGCCAACCAAACAGGTAATTCTGGATTGGCAAAGGTTTCACTGTCTCTTTAACTGCCATTACTATCAGCTAATGGCGGGTGGGGGGGGGACGTTTAAAGCTGGCGGCTAACTTCTCTGAGGGAGAACTGCCTTTCTTTTGCAGGGCCTTCACTGAGCCATTTTAACTGTATAAAGGTAGCCTTCGGTACTTTGCTAAACAGGGTGCTAGAGAGACAAAGAAAATGTTACTCTTCGTAATTAAGTCATTAAATTCTACCTGAAAGGGACCTAGGAACCAGGAGATGCTCGGGAAGGTGAGAGAACATGGGAGAGAAAGAAGGCCCAGCAAGAGGGCGGGAGGCTGGGACTGAGAAGAACTGGCCAGTGAGGCCTTCCCAGTGGCCAGCCCCTCTAATGGACTTTTAGGAAAAGGGTATCTAAAAGCCAATTTTAGGATATTTACTGCTCTAAGCTGTGCTGTACCACCACCCTTCCCCTGTCCCCTGCTGCCATCTTCATTAAAAGACTCCATTGAACTGCGGGCAGTGCTGGTGAGTGGTGGTTGAGGACACCGAGGAGAAAGGGCGAGGTCCTATGCTGGGCCAACTAAGGGTCAGACGTGAAATGTGAGAGACGGATTATTTGCTGGAAATAGGTAAGTCACTGTTGTGAGGATGAAATAATATACTGTACAGTTCTTAGAACAGTGTGTCGTGGCTCAGAGTGTTAGCTTGGGATGTGTGTTCTATCAGCCATCAATCCTATGGTAGAAGAGATTGCAGTTAGAAGACCACTTATTAGCCATGATACCTTGGATGTGTTACTTTTACTTGGTGAATTTAAATTTTTCTCATCTGTAAAATGTCTATCATAACAACAACAACAACAAAACCCAAACCTGTTGCCATCGAGTCAATTCCGACTCATAGCGACCCTACAGGATGGAGTGGAACTGCCCCATAGGGTTTCCAAGGAACGGCTGGTGGATTCAAACTACCGACCTTTTGGTTAACAGCTGAGCTCTTAACCACTGTGCCGCCAGGGCTCCAATAGTAACAGTAACTATCTCCAAAGGTTGTAAAAGGTTGTAACAGGATTAACTGAGATAACATAAAACTACATAAACTAAGAAACACTGCACATATGCTGGTTAATTTAAATTCTTTAGCTTGGTTTTCTAATCTTGGATTAGATATCTGGATAGATAAATGCAAATCAATGACTAAGAAACAAAAGGTGCAATACTATGCATGTAGTAAGTGCTTAACAAATACTGGCTGGAGTAAGTTGTTAAGGCACTTGAACGTATACGAAAACACAAAGTACCAGGTAGCACAATACGTATGATATTTATTTACCCACCTGAGTTTTCATTTCCCTCAGTTAACAACAAAAAATGAGTAGTTGCTGCTTAATAATTTTTGTTAATATTCTAGAATAAACAGAATTTGTCATATACATAGAACTTCTTTCACAGGAATCCTGTATCTGTCTACATAGTGGTTATCTGAGACTGAGTTTTAGATGCTTGATGATCTGTAATGAAACTGTTGACAATCATAAAAAATATCTAATAGTTTTCCTTTGATACTGTCAATTATAGTTTTCCTTCCTTAATAACTGAACTCAATAAACTGGATTCTGCACTTATATAAAAAGACAAGAAAAGGCAAATGTACAGAGACCAAAGTTTATTAGTGGTTACCAGGGATGGGAGAGAGAGGAGAAAGAAGGGCTAACAGTGATGGAAAAATCACATTGATTAAGGGTAGAGTTGCACAGCCCATTACTGTAATTGCTGTCAACAAGATGTACACCTGTAAAAAATTAAATTGGCGAAGTTGTGTGATATTTACAACAATGACAAAAAAAAAAAGAAGGCTGCCGAGGCTGCTTATGTACAACCAAACACCTCATGGGATTTGGTTCCTTGGTTTGGAGGTTTAGGGTCATGGTTTCATGGGATATTCCAGTTAATTGGCCTAATAATGTATTTAGTGCTTCTGTTCTCCCTCCTAGTTTGCTGTATAGTGCCTGGGTCTTAAAAGCTTGCAAACAGCCATCCAAGGCACAACAACTGGTCTCTATTCACCTGGTGCAACAGAGGAAGGAGACTCAGGAATAGGAAGAATATATGGAATGTGTTGGTAACTGCCTCTGTGAACAACTGCCTCCTTTTCCATCAGACCAGAAGAACTGCATAGAACCGAGCTACCTCTACTGAACATTTAGATCAAAGATCCCATAGAAGAATCCTGATCAAAAGTGGGAAAATGCAGAACAGAAGTACAAATTCTCATGGACTGGAGACTTTCTGGAGCCATGGAGGGTAGATGAATGCCTGAAACTATTGCCCTGAGATAATATTTGAACCTTGAACGAAAAATATCCCCTCAAGTCTTCTAAAAACCAAACTATAGTTTAACTTAACTAGCAAAATAGGTCTGCCTTGATTGAAAATTATGTTCTCTTAAGAAATAGTTCTATAAGGGATCAAACTGACAACAGCAACTCCAAAGACTGGATGGGAATTTTAGGGGGCAGTGAGTTTATGTTAATGAGGGAGGAACAACTCAGAAAAGGCGGGTGAGAATGGTTGTACAACTCGAAGAATGTAATCAGTGTCACTGAATTGTACATGTAGAAACTGTTGAATTGGTGTATGTTTTCTATGTATATTCTCAACAACAACAAAATAAAAAACCAAACCCATTGTCACTGAGTCGATTCTGACTCATAGCGACCCTATAGGACAGAGTAGAACTGCCCCATAGTTTCCAAGGAGCACCTGGTGGATTCCAACTGCCACCAGAGTTTCCGTCACAGTTTAGGAGAGCTGTAAAAAGCATCTCTTTCTGCCCACTTCACTCCCGCCAATTTCCTTCCTCACTGTGGTTTTAACTGCACCTTCACGGTCACTGATATATTCTGAATATCTTTAGATTTTTTTCTAGTATCATCTCTACAAGATTCTAAATTCTAGGACAAACTTGTTTTGACTTAAGTTTTACCTGTTCTGACTTTTCAAAGAATATTCTTAAATTCTTGGGTACAAGACAAACATCCAATAGAAAGTACAGCTCTCTCGCTAGTTCAGTGTTTCTAAAACTGCAGGTTGTAACCGACAAATTCGTGACTTGTGAAACATAATGTAGTGAGTTATCATCAGCTTTTAAAAAAGGTGAAACCATTAACAAACAAACAAACAAAACCACCAGAGTGCATCACGCAGGGTAAATACTGTTCCATGAAATTTCGGTTTCATGTAAAACACAGATGGACAGGTACACTGGGTTGTGATATAAAATATATTTCTTATTGTAGTTCTCTAAAAAAAACTTGAAAGCAACTGCTCTGGTGGATCGCACAGAGATATAACCTTAATTTTCCAGAGTGGAAAACAAGAGGCCCTACAAGTTGAAGTGACCTGATTGCTGCCACAGTGACGAGACTGCCGAAGGGGCCTTTTCCCCAGCAGCTTTAACGGGTCCTGGCTCGGGAGCGCTCCATTCGGGACGTGTGCTCTCTGCCTCTGACCATCTGACACTTGGTGTGTGCGAAAGAAAATCTTTTTTAAATTTAAGGTATTACTCAGATTTGGCCAGTATCAAAGACCAGAAATCAACCCCTGGCCCGCAGGCCCGTCGGCTCTGCTACAGCTTCCCCTCACTGTCTCCCCATGTCCACACAAGATCTGCAGGCAAGGTTCCACAGGAGGCTGGAAAAGTACCAAAGTCACTTACTTTGTCCACAGGGTATCCAGTTCAGGACGCACCACCAGATGTTAAACATGGAGGCGTGGTGATAGACGTGGAGAAAAGTTATCTGACTGGTTTTCTTCCGCAGAACAAAGAAAATTGTGTCCAGGAACTCTATTAATTTGGAGAAGTAGTACCACCATAACACTTTGGCTACCTATAAGAATTTTAAAAAGGAAAAAAAAAGTGATAAATAAAGATGTTCCGTGTGCCCGTCCCTCAGCATTCCGAGCGTCACCTGTGCCTTGCCAGCATGCACTTCCTGCTAGATACTGGAAAAGCCTCTTCCTTGCTGTCTCTGCCTCCTGCCTCCTGACTGGGAGCAATCTACCCCACTGTAAGGAAGGATGAGTTATCTTTCTCAAATACCTATCCAATCAAGTTAATCCTCTGCATCTGCAGAACTAAGTCATGATCACTTGCTTGAGTACAGGACATTTTATTGTCTTGTGCTTGCTGATACTTCCGTCATATTCTCTGAGCACACCGCCAAGGTATCCCGTGTGCCAGTGACACGGCGAGCACACCGCCAAGATATCCCGTGTGAGGGTGACACGGCGAGCACACCGCCAAGGTATCCCGTGTGCCGGTGACACGGCCTGTTTACGCTTCCTCGTGCACCTGTTGTCCTTTTCTCTCTGTGTCCAGTGCTCCTTTCCCACTTCATGTCTGGCGAATTCCCAGTCATCCTTTTATACCCTTTTCTCTGGAGCTTTACCTAACTCGTTCCTTTCCTCTCTCAGGCTGAATCAACTGCTTCTTCATTTGTGCCCCTAAATTACCTTAACTATGGGTCCATTGTCAATAGCGATAGTACAGCGTAGTCAGTGCTGTGGATTTGCCCCTCCCAAAGACCACAACACCGGAAGGCAGACTCTCCCCTACCTTCGCTCAGTGCCTGCATGCAACCGGAGACCATTACTGTTCGTTACAGTAAACTGTGATTCTTCTCCACTGCAACATACCTGTTACCTATGTTTTATCTGTAAACATAATACTAACCAAGGGCAGTCTGAATACTTCTTTTATATCTCTTCCTCGGATGAAAAGATTAAAAATCAAGTTGATCTTCATCCTTTCTAACGTGGTTGGTCATGATTAGTTTCGTTTCCCTCCTAAGTCCCTTATATAGTCTCATCTATATGGAAACACTTCTTCAGTTAAAGGCGCTGGGTTTTTAGCACCAACATTGAAACCTAAGATACTTTTGGAGACACTGTGTAACAGGAACCTGAAATTAGAATATTGTGCTCTATGGTGTAAAATATCCTTCAACGTTTGACAGAATAACCTTCAAAAATATTAATCCATCAATCAATCATAGCAACGCCCTCTAGAGAACTGTATGGTAACCCAAGTGTGCTGGTCTGTGATAATGCATTATTATAAACACGTTGTTGTTGTGTTGTTAGGTGCTGCCGAGTCGGTTCCGACTCATAGTGACCCTATACATTAGGTATAGAGAAATCTATGTATCTTACTTTATTCGTATTACAGCTTTTAAAAATGTACATCTTAATAAAGATTTTAATAAAAAAGCTTTCTACCATCTCTGTTAGTAATAACCCATATTTTTTAATTATGGAAATTTTCAAACATTCACCTGTTTGAAACCCTGTGGTATCCATCTCTGAACTTCAAAAAAAAATTAATAATATTCCATCCAATCTAGTTTCATCAGTACTATTTCCTACCACTTTTTTTGGAGGGGGGAGGAGTGTACCATAAATCCAAGGATCATACTATTTCACATAAAAATATTTCTAACAGATAGGGAGACTTTTTTTTGTTCTAACATAGCTAAAATGCCATTATATTGTCTAATAAAATAAATGATTCAGTAATAGCATCTAATAACCCAGGCCATGTTCACATTTCCCTGAGTGTCTTGAAAATGTCTTTTTATAACTGACTTGTTTAAATCATGATCCAAACAAGGTCCACCTTGCATTTAAGTCTTTTTTATTAAAAAAAAAATTTTACTGTGGTGAAGTATATATAACAAAATACTTGCCAGTTCAAAGTCGTAAGTCTCCTTGCTCCTCCTTTTTTTTCATGCCTTTTATTTCTTGGAAAACCCTATGGGGCAACTCTACTCTGTTACCGGGGTCACTATGAGTCATTGTTGACTTGACAGCATCTAACTGTAACAGGAGCAGCAGTTAGAGGCTTAGATTCAGGTTTAACAGTTTTTGGCAAGAATATTTCAGGCGTGGTGCTGTGTACTTCTTATCGCACTACATCAGGAATTACGTAAGTCCTGGTGGTTCCACTTTTAATAATCATTATACTAAGACTGAACAGTGAGTTTCAGGTGTTAGCAGCCTAATCCAATCATTATGAAGTCTCCATTCAACTTCTACCCGACAGTTTTATCATTTATACATGACTGCTGCCTAGATTCATTATTTCACTAGAAGTTGCCAAACGGTGATTTTCTAATTCTAGTGTCACTTATTCATTTATTAGGTAGAATTCTCTTCTGTAGAGAAGACCCTCCCTCATACATTTCGTTACCCTGAAATTCACATATGAAAGGCGAGATACATGTTTAACTCTTCCCCTTTGTTTTGTTTTTAGAATAATGTTTTGGTACCCTAGAAATCATCAAAAGGTGACAATGAGATTCTTTTAGTATCATTTTAAACTCGTGGATTTTTATATATTTAATATGTTTCTATCTATTCCAGGCAGTATCCTTTTTGAAACTCAAATTTTCCTGCCTTTCACCACTGGGAGTCCTCTCAAGGCAGCTCCGTGTCTCTCTGTCGTGACCCTAGAAGTCTTGGCTAGCTTTCTTGCTTTCTGGCACAAATGTCCCAGGCTCATCTTATACATTTCCTGTCCCAAGCCTGGAATCTGCCAAAATCTCTAAAGAACTTTAATTCCTTCTGGTATAAAATTATATTTAGAGACCACAATCTGGGAATTCATTGTGCATTGTTACTGGGTTACCACTGAGTAACGAAGCCTTTTTTGTGGACAGAGCTAAGAAGTAAGTTTTTTGTTTTTAAGAAAGAATAAAGTTAATTCTAATACTTGCCATTTGAACTTTTGATTACTGGGTTTCAGTTTAACTTCTTTATGTATTTTTTTGTTTTTTTTTTCTTATTATTAAGACTATTTTTTAGAGCAATTTTAGGTTTACAGACCATTGGGCAGACAGTACGGAGAGTTCCCATATGCTCCCTCTACCACCCTCACAGTTTCCCCTATTAACATCTTGCATTAGTGTGGTCCATTTGCCACAACTGACGAACCAATGTTGATACATTATGATTAACTAAAGCCCATAGTTTAGAGTTCATTCTTCGTGTTGTACAGTTCAGTATATGCACCATTACAGTATCACACAGGATAGTTTCACTGCCTTAAAAATCCTGTGCTCTACCTATTTCATCCCTACTCCTCCTCCAGAATGTCACATAGTTGGAATTATACAGACGTAGCCTTTTCAGACTGGCTTCTTCCACTTGGCAGTATGCGCGTAAAGCTCCTCCGTGCCTTCTTGTGGTTTGATAGCCCATTTCTTTTTATTGCTGAATAATACTCCATTGTATGAATGTACCACAGTTTATCCATTCACCTTTTTTTTTTTTCTAATTTTATTGTGTTTTAGGTGAAAGTTTACAGCGCAAATTAGTTTTTCATTCAAAAATATACACACAAATTGTTTTGTGACACTGGCTGCAATCCCTGCAATGTGTCGGCACTCTCCCCCTTTCCCTTTATACCCCGGGTTCCTCGTGTCCATTGAGCCAGGGTTCCTGTCCCTTCCTGCTTTCTCATCTTTGCTTTTGGGCAAGTGTTGCCCATTTGGTCTCCTATACTTGACTGAACTAAGACGCATGTTCTTCATGTGTGTTATTATTTGCTTTATAGGCCTGTCTAATCTTTGGCTGAAAGGTGGACTTCAGGAACTGCTTCAGTTCTGAGTTATCAGGGTGTCCAGTGACTAGAGTCTCGGGGGTTCCTCCAGTCTCTGTCAGACCAGTAAGTCTGGTCTTTTTTTGTGAATTAGAGTTTTGTTCTACATTTTTCTCCCGCTCTGTCCGGAACCCTCTATTGTGATTCTTGTCAGAGTGGTTGGTGGTGGTAGCTGGGCATCATCTAGTTCTTCTGGGCTCAGACTGGTGGAAGCTGTGGTTCACGTGGTCCATTAGTTGTCTGGACTAATATTTTCCTTGTGTCTTTGGTTTTCTTCATTCTCGTTTGCTCCAAACGTGATGGGACCAATAGATGTATTTTAGACGGCTGCTCTCAAGCTTTTAAGACCCCAGATGCTACTCCAAAGTAGGATATAGAGCATTTTCTTTATGAACTATGTTATGCCAACTGACCTAGATGTCCCCTGACACCATGGTCCTCAGTCCTTGGCCCCAGTAGCCTGGTCCCTCAAGGTGTTTGGATGTGTCTAGGAAGCTTCTATGGCCTTGCTGTGGTCAAGCTGTGCTGAATTCCCCTATATTACGTGTCGTCTTTCCCTTCACCGAAATTAACACTTGTCTACTATCTAGTTAGTGATTTCCCCTCCCCACCCCTCCCCTCCTTCGTTAACTTCTTTATTTTTAATTGGTGTATCTTTTCTTCTATGTTTCAAGTATTAATTCCGAATGATATTAACATTATTATATACTTTATCTTACAATGTACCTATGACAGTCTTAAAAAGCAATACCCATATTATTATTAACAACAGCAACAAAAACATTACTGAATGTTGTTAAGATATATCCCACTAGCGAGGCCCAATCAAAACACTGCTTGAGAGTCACCTGAAATACTTCTTCTTACAGATCCCTTGTAGAGATCTTCCTTGCTCCACTCTGGAGGCATCTGTTCTGCGATACGCCATGGTTCACCCAGTGTGGCCCCTGTAGACGCATGTTTGGTGAACCCATTTTTGTTACCAAACATTTCAGTTAGAGCAGGAACCCTTTCTCATCTAATCCTAGCCCCTTGCTCATATCCGGAAGAAGAAAGCCTTCTCCCCTTCCTAGTGAGAACCGGCTACGCGGCTAAAGGCTCACCCGGATGTCAGCGTCCCCTGCACCGGTGAGATCCTGGCACTGTAAGTTGTAGCCTCCTTCCCAGCTGGAGAGAACGAGCTGCCCAAGAAACAAGAAAGGAAAAAATCAGTACAAGGATTTGGACACAAACCGAGTTTCCCATTCATGTTTCTGATTGGCATCTCTTCAAGGTTTGGACAGAACCATCCCAGAATGTAACTGGATCCTGTCCTCAAACACCTATTATCAAAGGATCTAATTCTTGCTGCTAAATTGAAATCAACAGTTATTCACCTGAAGTAATATATTTTAGTTCTAACCATTATCATTAGCCAAAAGTAATACAATTTAGCTATCATTTGAGTAACAAAATATTTTATGTAAGGAATTATCTACTTCTGTGTTTACATAAGTATAATGTAGAATTAATTGAATGTAAAGAAATGTGCAGAAATGACACTAAAATTTTAGTAATATTTTATATTGGCTTACAATATATAAATATCTTATTTGATCATCTCAATTTTATGAATCGGGTATTTATTGCCATTTTACAGATATAAAAATCAGGGCTCAGAAAGGTTCCTAAACCATGTTCCTTCACTGTATTTTTTGCTTGGTAACTAATCAGTCATTTCCCCATTACTCTCAAAACCCAAAAAGTTCTCTAAAATCTGTGCCTCTTTTTTTGATCATCTTTGTATCTATGGTTCCTTGCCCAATGCCTGGCAAATAGTAAGTCCTCAATAAATATTTGATGTGTAAATGATTTGCTCAAGATGGCTAGAAAATGGTAGAACAAGGATTAGATTTTAGACTTCCTAATTTCTTGTCTACTATTCTATCCACAATATCATGAGAAGATGAGCTTTTTTATTCTACCAAAAAAAAAAAAATAAATAATACAAAAGACGTCTTCTCCCTTCTTTCTCATTGTTATCGTAGAAACTTCAAACTCTAGAGAATTAGGTACTGGACGCAAAAAGCCCACTCTTTTCTGCTGTCTATCAGATGTATAAAGGTTAAGTACATCTACAGAGCAGTGAGAGATGGGTGTTAGTTAAACACTGAAAATAAATAAGACTGAAAAATACATTTAAAAGATTTTGGAACCTTTGCAAGTCTTCCCTCCACTGTCCTGATCTACCTCTTTTTCCTTCTAACAAATGCACCTTTCAGTTAACATCTTAATTGAAGATGATCAGAATGAATAAATCTAGTGAAAGAAAAAGAACATGCATTTTCCTAATAAGCCCTATTACAAATCAAGTCATCCCCCATTTCCCCAAGGAGCCTTAGATTCTTAAGTGGGAACCACTGACGGGCTAGAGGGGATCTAGGGATACCCAGCGGTCTCCATCTCTGTGGCACCTCCACAGAACTACCTGACGGTTTAATAGCTGAAGAGTGGAATACAGCAGTAAAGCTACGGGAGCCTCCACCTGTCTCACCCGGGACCATTCCTAATCCCATAGCTGGACTGATGTGCATAAACCACCCAATCTATGTATTGAAGAACAGGAAACAAATAGGCTTAAAGAGATGTGGCCTAAATCACTCCAAAATATATCCACCAGCCTCTCCCTGTCTCCACCATCTTAATCCAAGCCATTAGCATCTGCGCCTGTAGTACGGACTTCTCTCCAAACTGGACTCTTTTGCTTCCATCCTTGCCCCAGCTCATCCTTGATAGTGTGGGTAGCAGCCAGAGTGATCTATTTAAACAGGGGGGTCTAAATTTATAGAGAGTGACAGAGCTGAAACTCGAATTCTGCGTCCACTACACCAAAGCTTGTTCAGTAGGGTATCAGAGCTGCTGATGCAGTTACACCTTCAGGATGGCCCTTCTGCTGCTGCTGCTATTTCTGAAAACAATCCAAGGAAGAGTGTCTTTCCCTTTGCTATATATGGAAATTAACCCTGTAATTTACTATCTTGCAAGCTGACTTAAAAGGAGTGAACTAAAATTCACCTTCTAGAGAACTTAAAATAAAAATTCTCCTTCTGAGACCAACCAGGGACAGAAAAGGCCTTAAACGACAAGTTACGTCAGTTAAAAATTTTGTCTAGATGAAGACTGGTGCAAATGTTTGCTTCCTCCTAATCTGTCCACTTGTAGCTGTCTTTCAGATCAGCCAGTTAGAACTAGAATCCTGGGCATGTGCGGTAAGAGACCAGGTTGACTGTCAGATAGCCTTATCCCATAAGTGTTGTCTAGGAACCAAAATCACCAGACATACATCATCGAGCGGTGACCAAGCCCATTTTCAAAGCGAGAAGTCCATCAGCCACTTCCATGCCAGAATCCTACGGCGACCCCTTTCTGAATATATATGAAGTTAATGAATATGTATGACTTCTCCTTTCCTGTGTGATATAAAACAGCACTCCCAGCCCTTTGTTCAGAGAGAAAGTGCTTTCGGGGAGCATCCCCCTCCTCGCCTTACTCGCCATGAGTAATAAACTATGCCTTGCTTTAAATCCGCTTGACTCTTAGTTATTCTTAACGAGAGTACAAGCAGCAAGCCCACTGCTTTCGGTAACAAATTTCCTGGCACTCCAGATGGGACCCTACTTGGTGTCCCCCACGAGTTAACTACTGGAGCTGACAGACCTTTCCTGGACGGGCTTGTGGCTACCTGAACTCTTTTTGTTCAGTGCCCCCTGGGCTTGGTAGGTTCGAACTCCGAGAGTTTACTTTCAATTTGGCTCGAAAGAAAGGCATAGAATTTGTGTGTGTGTGTGTGTGTGTGTGTGTGTGTGTGTGTGTGTGTGTTCCCCGGGTTGTCTGTTTCTGGTTGGTGCACGCTGAATCTGGAAGATTGGCATAGACATCGCTATTCATATTGAGAGACTGAAACCCCTCCAGCCTGGCCTGGCTCTGAGGAGTGGACATGAAATTCTCTGATTCGCACTCGATTGAGAGAGTGAGGTTAGAAGTCCCTCCATCTGGTTTTGGGAATAGAGGGTATCTGGAAGATTGAAGTGGGGGCTAGACCTCACTAAGACCATCTTCGTTCCCCTTTCCCTCTCTGGCTTGTCTGGTGTGAACTCTCTGTCCATCTGTTTGTCTGTCTGTCTTATGTGTACAGTACATGGAAAGTGACTGGTGGAAAGAAATTCATGTTGAATTAGAACATACCTATAGAGATTCCTGGGAGTTTATTGATTGGGCTAAAGAAAGAGATATACAAGGAGAGAAGATTTTCAGTCTAGACTGGGATTTGGATCACAATATGCAGAATGCTCTGAATGGAGTGTTAAGATTTCAAAAATAGGGTTTCTCTAGAAGCTGGGAAAACTCTAGGCTGCAGTGTGAGAGGCAATAAATTCCTATTGGACTAGGAAGAAAAAGCTGGTGGTATTAACTATCCATAAAAATAAAAAGCTAGGTTCTTGGGAACAGTTAATTGGACAGCATGGGAAATCAGGAAAACATACTAGGAGATTCACCCCTAGGGTGCATTCTTAAACATTGGCAATTTTTTTTTCTTATGATCAATTAAAGAAAAAGAAACTTATATTTTTCTGCAACACTGCCTGGCCTCAGTATACCCTCGTTGACCAGGAGAAGTGGACTTTGTCCGGGTTTTTGAATTTTAATACTATTCTACAGCTGGATTTATTTTGCAAGAAGGAGGAAAAATGGGATGAAATCTCCTATGTACAAGCTTTTATGGCCCTCTACCACAATAAGGGGTTACAAACAAAATGCAAATTGACCCGTGTAGCTCTAGCTACCGAAGTTCAATCTAAAAAGCCTCCAAAGGAATCTGGGGAACCAGATCTTTTGGAGGATCCCTTCTTGAATCGAGGTCCAGCGCTGACCTCACCAATGTCTTTGCCTGAACCTCCAGCATACCTCCCTCCCAGCTGCCCTTCCCCTGCTATTTCTGATCCCACCCTCAACATTCCTTCTGCCCCCACTTCCCTTACTTCTCATTCAGGACCCACAGCCTCTTTGATGAGGGTCTCAGCGAGCTTCCCTCTACCCCTGTGGTCCTGTCCTCGCAACCTTTATCCTCCCCTCTCAGATTCTAAGAAGACCCCAGGGGGGCTGTACCCCCTGCGAGAGGTGGTAGATGGACAGGGCGGGGTGGTCTGGGTACAGTTCCCCTTTTCTGTTTCAGATTTAAGTGTGTGTAAAGAGAAACTGAGTAAGTTTTCAGAAGACCCAGAGAAATTTAGAGAAGAATTTGTTAAGCTTAGTCTTAACTCTGTTCTCAGTTGGCAGGATGTGATAGTAGTTCTGACCACCTGTTGTTCTACTGATGAGAAGAACAGAATACTAGCTAAGGCAAGAGAGCACGCTACCAGCTTTGTCCCCACCAAACCCAAACACAATGTTTTGAAGCCAGGGGATGAGGCAGTTCCTGGAACTGATCCACAGTGGTATTACCAGGACCGACTGGATTGGGCAAAAATGAAACATTTTATAACCTGTGTGGTTGAGGGAATGAAAAAGTGTGTCCATAAGCCAGTTAACTATTTAAAGATTAAAGAAATAACCAGGAGATTTCCAGACAACATAGCACTAAAGCACCACACCATCCCTCCACTGAAGATCTGAAAAACTAAGTCAGAGTCACACGTCAATTCTGAAACCCTAAGCATCAAATGAAGAGATTAAGAACTCAGCTGAGCACCGAATGGAATAAGAAACTGACTGAGAACAGAGGGCGAGGAGAGATACATGCAGAGGTCCGCTATCAGCTAAAGCAGCATGGATCTGCCATCTTGGACTTCTATTGGCGATCAGCGAACAAGCGGTACGAGAAAGCAGCTTCACAGAGCTTCCAGCAGGAGACAGAACAACCAGTAACTAGCAATATACGCTTTCCCACCCACCACCCTTCTTCACCCCTACTCGGCCTCCTCTGCTTCCTGAGGACAGTCTCTTGGCCAGGCAGCACCGGCGTCACCCTGGTGTTGCTTGGATTCCACCTGCTGGCACTGGCCGGCTCCCTGAGTGCTATTTGTTGGCTGCTGGGTGTTGCTTTTTTCTGCTTCATTAGATTTCTTCCTTACCTCTCACCACCTCCCCCTCTTTCTCTCAAATACCTGGCTCCATGCGCCATCTTTGCTTCTTCCTGAAAGGC